CTCACCTCAACTAGGGAGGTTACTATCTCCATCTTCAGTGTGTATGAAGCATGTTTTGGGGCAGGAGGAATCAGGGAATCTTTCTGTTATGACTTCCAGTTTACGGGGTAGTTTCTTCAAGGTTAGATTACTGCTGACTTTGGCGGAGTTTCGTAAAGCAGTTAGAACTGAGCAACTTAAAGGAGGCCAAAAGCTAATCCCGCTTTTTTTTTTTAATTTAACTAATTTCTACACTTGTACTTCCCCTCATTTTTATTATATTTAATTTTATTTTCTGTGTATGTTCACAGTTGAAAACTGCCACATATTTTAAGATCTGACAGCATAAAAATCAAGCAAGCAAATATTCAGCAATAATGGAAAAAATATTGACACTGATCGTTCATTGAAGCTTTCTTCTTTAAAGTACTTTTGAGAACTGATGCTCTATTGGATTACAATTTATTCACAGATCACTGACTTCAATGCATAAGATCTGTCTGCTTGAGTGATACCTATACTGGTCCCCTTTTCTTAATCAAGCTGTATGTACTGAAATTCATTCTGCCTCTTTCTTACGGCCAGAATGCTCTGCAGATTAAAGGAAAAGGTCCCCAACAAAAAAAATTCTACTTCAGATATATTACAAAGTAAAACAGTCACACTAAACTCAATCCTACTACTATCCACCTGAATTTTTAAGCAAGCATCTTATACATCAATGTTTGAGGATCTATGTTTTTTTCAAAAAACAGATTAAAAAATCTGTTATGTTTCAGAAAAAGCTTATTTGCTATGACTATTCAAATCAAATCAAAATGTGAGCAATCATGGCATCAGCTTGATTTTACCATTTATGAAAGCGCCATGAGGGAGAAGGATCAGAAAAGGATAGTTCATTTTAGATCCTGCCCCTCTCCCCTAGCTTAATAAGTATTATCATCGTGTTTAGCTTCTGCAGCTCCTCCTGCAGATGGGAATGCACTGATATGATTAAATTTGATAGTGTGATAATGTATGGAATTAGTGATTAATTAGAAGCTCCCCAGCAAATGGAGGATGTTTGTTATTGTGTCACCTGCACTGTAAATTGCATTTTCCCTTCTCCCAGTCTGACACTGAAACCATAGGCAGAAGGGGTGGAGCCACAGCAATTGATCTTCTGTGTACTTTACAGATCTGGCAAGAGAAAACCCTCATTGCTCTATTGTGAAGATACTAATAATAGGACTAGGTAGATAAGTTGTGAAAATGGCAGGTCCTCGTGAAGAGAACTTGCCAGAGATGCTCAGGAAAGCTCAGTTGCACATCTGCAGGGGCTGTAATAGGAGGGGGGGAAATGTAATTTGATTCAGCAGTCTCATTCGAACATGATTTGCATGAAATGCTGTATAAAGCTCTATCCAAGAAATGTCAATCATGACCACCTGATACCTTGTATCATGTTAAAAAGAAAGGAAAATGCTTTCCAGACCAGGTGGAATTTGCCAGCGCGGCTGCACAGTAATAGAGTGAAAATTTCATTTACTGCTGCTGTTCTAACAGCACCGCCATAACGAAAACACAATTGCTATGGCAGCCATGCAGCCGGGTAGAGTTTTTTTCCTCCCACCCTCATTGCACTTGATGTCTCACATTTAAACAAATGACAGCGCAAGTGTGTAAGCAACTATATTCTTTATCAACTGGTGAAACTGATGATAGATACTTTTAATACATATTCACAATGACTATAAATGGTTAACGTGTTTCGTTTTAGAAGATAAATATGCATTATCTGCTGTATCTCACAAAAATATTCAGCTTGGAGTCAGGACCGGTGCCCTGAGTTGGGTCAAATGATTTAGCTTTCCTAACACATGAAAATGACTCCTCGGCCACATTCTGTCCCCATTTTGATAAGCAACAGAAGATTTAAGATAGCTTGTGATCTACCAGCTAAACTGAGGAGAAAAAAATGTTAATCAACCATTATCTGCATAAATCAGCAAGCATATCTTCCTCAACAAGAAACAATTTGTGCACCTAATGCAAACAAATTCAAATTTAGGTAATTATACCTGCAGAAGACAATTCCATTACTGTTTTCCATGCTACAAACCCTCAACACTGATGTTTATCCTGACTTAAAGCAATGGGAATTGTACCCTAACCAGACTAAACATATTTTTCAAACTATAAGACGTACCTTTTTGTCTCCTAGATGGGGATGAAAATGTCTGTGCATCTTATAGACTGAATATTGCTGAAGCCCCGTCCACCCATCAGCCATTTTTTTGCCTCTACACGCCCCTTTTTCAGGCAAAACAAAATGGGCTGAAAGAAGCTGAAAAAATAAGACAGAAAAAGCTTCAAAAACAGGCCAGAAAAAGCCTGGAAAACAGGCCAAGAAAAGCCTCAAAAATGAGTAGAAAAAAGGCCGGAAAAGGGCCCCAAAAAGGGCCGAAAATGAGGCACACAGAGGCAAAAACTTTTTGTTTTGTTTTGTTTTCTTCTTCTAAATTTGGGTGCATATAGTCAGGTGCGTCTTATAATCCAAAAAATATGATAATTCAGACTGCAGTGGCTTGTCGAATGAAAGAAAGAAAGAAAGAAGTGCTCCCTCCACCAGGTGTTTAAAAATGATCCAGAGAATCTCTGACTTGTTTGGTTCTTCTAATTTTCTTTCAATTTATACATGGAACACTGTAAAATAAAAATCTCATCGATGGATTCAAGGAACGGTGATTTATCCTTTCCAAAATTAGGTAACAAATTGAGCTATCAAACAAAAAGTTTGAGAGGAAAAGCACTTTCTGTGATTCACTTTCAAATATCAAAATCTACCTTTTACCATGATATTCACCCTTGACTGAGTTAAAAAGGAGCAAGAGTAGCCTTTCCCTCAAGTTCAGATTTAGTGGTGATTCTATTTATTCTCATGTATCCAATTTATATAAATAGTGCAGAGCGAAAACATCAAGCTGGTTTCTCATAGACTAGCACTGTTCGAAGCAGGAGTGACGATACTAAATATTATTCATTAATATTAATGAGAATATCCATTAAATATTAATGAGAATATGGTCAAATCCTCATGTTTGTTAAGTCTCACTTTAATGATGTTCATTTTGTACAAGTTTTATTGGTTTATAAATTGGCCATTGAAAGATTCAATTCATTCTTCTATACCCATGATGGCGAACCTATGACACACATGCTGGAAGTGGCACGCAGAGCATTCTCCCCGGGAACGCCAGCCATCATCCGTTGCCAGAAACTGGAAGACCAGGTGAACAGTGCACATGCGCACGCCGGAAAGCAGAAGCTCAGCTCCCCAGCGCGTCCATGTGCGCCGAGGAGCTGCTCTTCCAGTTTCCAGCGTTCCCGTGTGCACAAAGACCAGTTAGACGGTGCATGTGGGAGGATGCGTGCTGGCCAGCTGGTCTTCGCATGTGCATGCACACCAGAAACCAGAAGAACAGGTGACCAATGCGCATGCCGTAAAGCAGAAGCTTAGCTTCCCAGCTCACGCATATGTGCCAGGGAACTGCTCTTCTGGTTTTGGGTGCTCGCTCATGTGCATGCCAAGTTTCCGGTGCTCCCCTACGCCCGCTCCAGTTTCGGCACTTGGTGCCAAAATGTTTCGTCAATACCGTTCTACAGAAACACCCTGATAGCAACGTGCCTTTAAAATTTACATTATCTGAATATTGTGAAACCTACAATATTAGTCAAACTCACCATCGATATTCACTGCAGACATGTCTAGAAAACAAAGCAGCACCTAAAATTTTTTGGTTTGGTCATACCTTATCCTCAGGATGATTAATTAAAAGCAATGTCAAATGTCTCTAGTTATGAGAAACACACTTTTAAAAGGCTTTTTCAGGACCTGTGTCTCAAATATGCACATTCTCTATGAAAAATGAAGACCAGTATCTAATAATTATGGGTCCAAAAGGAGATTAATTCTATCAAAAATTCACAATTTATATGATAACTAATAAATGTTCCAATTTCTTGTGCTTTTTGCAGTACATGAACAAAAATACTATCAGGCTCCATCTGAGATTCATTTAGTACTATGTATGAACTGGAAAAGAGGACTTGGTTTCTTCTAACAAGTTATTTCCCAGATCACAGGTGCTAAGAAAATCACGGAGAGCACAATTTGCCATCCTTCTGCATTAATAACCTACAAAGAACAATTTAACAATCTATACTACCACACTCTGCATTCCCAGACTAGAATTTTTCGTTATTCCGAGTTACTCCTGCAAAATAACGAATTACCAAGGAGATGATTTGCAGGCATTTAAAACACAAATCACCTCATCGCATTAGTTTAATTATTTTTGAAATTTAAAAAAAAGGTATACAGTAAAAAGAAGCAATAAAATACAGCAGACTTTTTGCTTATAACACCACAAGAATTTGGGGGGAGGGGAATCTGGAAAATTTACATACTGCAAAAATATAAAAGGGAAAAGAAGTAGGAATATATTCAGCGACACTGAGAGGCAAATCAACCAAGTGTAGTAGCTTTGATAGGGGAAAAACCTGGTCACTGTGTTTGGGACAAAAAAGAAGATAAGGAGGTAATAGACACCAGTAGTAAATCAGTTTCTGGCATTAAAGATACAACAAAAGAAAAATAATAAAAATATTTACATTTACATTAGAAATACACAATGTTTGATGCCTTTTTTTATTAAATAAAACCAGTTCTATTTATTCTGGAAGGACTCTAATGGATGGATGGAGTCCTTATTATTATTTTAAACCCAGCCAGTATGTGGTGTGTTTTTTTTAAACTCCCCACTGGAAGTTTTTACAATTAAAACAAAATTAATTCAGGCCTGAAAAATTCATTGACCTTTAAGCTTTTAACAAACAATTTTCTAGCTCACAGATCACTGTCAATATTTGCAAATCCTTAAAATTATATTTCACTGGCACCACTTTTATTTGCCATATTAATATTTCTTTACAAATGTATGCTTATCCATATCAGAGAAGAAGGAACAGCTGCTACTCACAGGAAATCTCTGGGGTCCTAAAGCAGGTCTTGGCTGGGTTGGGACTGGCAGCAAGGGCACTAAAAACAAGGAGCACACTTTTTAAATCAATTTGTTTTAGCCAAGACTTCGGGCCATTTTCATATACAACCACATTCACAGGCAGCTGCCGCCCCATTCTCCCCAACAGCTGCATGCAGACAAAATGTGTTAACACCATGCAACAGGGCAATTAGGATGCTGATGGCATAGGCTACAAAATTAAACAAGGCACAGGCAATTTGAAATATTTGTTTTGTTTCACACATTACTGAGTGAGGGACAAAATCTTGACAGCACAGCATCAGAGGCATATCATGATTTTCCAAAATTCCAAATATTATACCAATTCCGTGGGTTCACATTAATTCTATGCATCATAGTACTAATATGGTTACTAAGAAATAAAGACCCAAATACACATATACTGTGTGTGTGTGTACATATGTGTGTGTGTGTGTGTATATGTATGTATATGTGTGTATATGTGTATATGTGTGTGTGTGTGTGTATATATAACAAAGGCAACAGTAATAAAAAAAAATTGGGTTTCTGTCGTGATGGACTCTTGTGACGAGCCGATTGACAGATGATGGAAGCAATTAGCTTCCTCCCATAATTGGGGCTTACCAGGGGTTGTGACTATATATATATATATATTTTTGTGTGTGTGTGTGTGTGTGTGTGTGTGTGTGTGTGTGTGTGTTGTGTTTGTGCTGATAAAATAAATAAAGGGAGACTAGTATAGATCTATTTCAAGCTATTTAGCTCTCATCAGCTAGCCATACCCTTACTGGGATTCAAACACATACATACATACATACATTGCTTTTACTGTTGCTCACTTAAATTACAAAAACACATTAATTTTTCTGCACCAGAATTATCCTGCAAGAGTCCTTAAGAGACCTTAAATTGGTGCTACTTAATGTTTTGTTTGATTATAATTTATGAATCCTACTCTAAAGATTACACATTTTTTCTGTTTCAAAAACAATTCCTCCCTTAAACTTTTCACCTATTCTGCTAGTTTTGTTTGGCGTTCAGCATGTCAATGTGAACTCTTTGTAAAGAAAATATGTGGTTTATTTTATTAATCAACAATGAAAACAACTGGAGATTCTCAATCATCCAAGTTAAAGTTGTTCAAGGTTGCTTTTTCCAAAAGACAGCTGGACTTTTTTTTTTTTTTCTTTGAAAACACTTTGCTTCTCATCCAAGAACAACTGAAGAAGCTTCTTGGATGAAAAGCAAAACGTTCTTTAAAAAACACCAGACAATGTCCAGTTGTCTTCTGCAAAAAAAAAAAGCACCTTTGGAACATGTTGTCTTATAATGTCAGAAGAAAAAATAGAAATCCTGGTTTAAATGTATATACATTTATGTTTCATCTGTTTCATTTATTATTTTTTTCTACAGTTCCAGTTTCCCACCATCTAATTTCAGGAGATGAATCTAAGGAATTCTGCACAGAAATACCTAGTGCTATAAAAATAACGATAACACCAAAACCCAACTTATGCCAAGGAAAACTGTTGATCTACATTGGTTAGTACGGTTGATGATAATCAACATAGCAGCTCTCTTGGCTTCTATCTATTTCTCAGTGGTACATCTAAAAAGATTCTAAAAAATGAGAAACATTTATATCCAATTATGTGCTTTACTTCTAAGCAATAAGCGTTTTCCATTACATTTTGCAGTAATGACTGTGGTCTACCTAGACTTTCTTCGAAAAGATTCCTACCTTGAACAGGTGTTACTACAGCTCCTTTGAAGTGTGGGTTTATATGTATGTTTTTTGGCTGTTGGGATGCCACTGAAGGAGAAGTCATCAGTAATCTTGGGTTGTCTACTTGGGATGGCATATGCATTCCTGGAGGGGGAGGGGGCGGCGTGCGAAGCGGAGTGGGGAGAGGGAGCAGACCCTGTAGCTGTTGCTGTGATTGTTGCTGCTGCTGGAAAAGATTCCGCATGGGATGATGAAATATCCTGTCTGAATGTGTCTGAAATTAAAAACAAAAAATAACATTTCCATTACTGCTCCAGAAAAAATACAAGAGAGGGTTTTTTTTATGGGGTTAAGCAGATTCGTAGCTATGAGCCGAAGTGGCGCAGTGGTTAAATGCAGCACTGCAGGCTACTTCAGCTGACTGCAGTTCGGCTGTTCAAATCTCACCGGCTCAGGGTTGACTCAGCCTTCC